TGCACTGAAGTCAACGTTACGATTGGAGTAAAATACTCCACGTGCGGACCAGATCCGTACATTGCAGCCGAACATGATGATCGCGGTTACACCATCGCCCTTGACGGCGAAACCCTAAAGAGACATTCGGTTTGTCTCCACCGCCATTCCGTGGTAATCATACACGGATCCCTTTACCGTTACCAGGATGGTACATGGACACCGGTAAACCCGACTTTCCATAAGTCGCTCTCTCATTGGCATTTCATGACTAAATTCCTAACCGATAACCTGGAAGAGACTCTCGGTGACTCCTTGTCCATCGACCCATTCCGATTTCTGGACTTGACGGCCGAATTATCCGGCCTGATGTTGGAGACCGGTATTTCAAATTTGAGTACCATAATCACTCCAAAATATGTTCAGAGTACAATGAAATCTATGACAGTGCATAGTCTCTTAAATATTTCGCTTACTTCAATAACGGTTTTTATTGCTGTGGTATTTTGCGTTCGGTATCACCGAACGGTGATGGCGTGTTTAAGTTATTTCGTAGACTGTTGCCGCCCGCGTTCACGACGGCAATACGATTTCCAGCCTGGACGGCAGGAAACGGTCGCGGTCACCGCTACCGCTACGGAAACCCAGGACAGGAACCTTTCTCGGACTGTACCCACACGGACGGTGGATATTCCCATGACGCCGCGTTACCGTCTTTCGGACACGGTTCGCCAGGATCCCGTCTACGCCAATGCGCGCATAGTCGCCGAGGACTCGGATGGATCAACAATTGGCGCACGGACTCCTTCTCCGGATCCTACGCTTGGCCCACGGACGGAACCGACGGTGACCTTTGGAAATGCGTTGATGGAACAGCGCCGGAAGTTGGCACCGGTTCGGTATGGAACTCCACCGACCGTGAGCAGCGTTTAACCGCTTAGCATTAGCTTTATTTTTCCGCTCATGTAAAGTCAGCCAGCAAATAAATTAAAATTTGTAAAAAAAAACAATTATTGCAAATTTCAGAATATTATATTTTATTTTGTCTATTCTTTTATTTTGCTTACAGAATTAAAATATGTCAGGTTCTTGCTTGCAATTAGTCAGGTTTAGAATGGTCAGGATTATGTCTTAAAATATTTCAATAATAACGATCGCTATTCTTTTCGGAGAAAATTTATCACAAATATTGGTCCAGAAACTACCTTCGTTAATTGTCAGATTTTAATTCGAAAATTAAAAATAAAGGGTTCGTGAAGATAGACCCGGTCCTATCCCCGGGAACCCAGTTATATTAAGTTCGCTACCTGAAGCTTTAGGTCGCCGATTTTTATCAGTCATTTAAGTCTCGCAATAATCAGTGAGTGATCGTATCCGGTGGCCTGCATTACAGTCATGGTTAACACATTGTATTTTCGTGATTAGCTGGAGGTCTATTCTCTGGGGCAGAATTTGAAATTTACTAATTAAAATTTCTTACGAAGATGCTGGTGCAGCAGTTTGTTTGCTAAATGTTGAGGTGAGTATAATCGCTAAAAATCTCCTTAAAAAAAAAAAAACAACGAAGTTCTTAATAAAATAAAAGTGTCTGATCAGCAATCCCGTCGCTGTAGCAATACTTCGGTCATGGGCGATGACGTCGATACAGAGCCCCTGCGTAACAACTTTAGCTTTGGGCGCATCACTGGTTGACGAGGTGTTGAGCCGTAAGTACGCGACTTGACCGCAAGATATGCTACTAATTCAGACAAATTACCAATGCAGTCGTACGAGCAAGTGTACGAAAAAATTAATTTGAAAGGGGAGAAGAAGTGGATGTACCAACCGCGTGTTGTAGGCAGGCGAACAAACATTGTTTGAAACCAGCGAAATAAGATCTTGGAAATGAGCAAATGAATTTTTCGTACAGATCTTGCCTCAGAGAATAGGATTTTCTGTTTAATTGCGTGAATACGGTGTGGTGTTGTGGTTTTGGTGTATGGTTCACCGCGGATCAAAGTTCAAGTTCAAGTGCGACCGAATGATATCATCGATAGCACCGCATTTATTATGAAAATGAGTCAGGGAATCTAAATCCAAAAACATTTATAAAATGAAAATTTGGTTTAACCCGGGTTTTCCCTAAAAGCATTACGAAAATAAAATACAAATTATTCCGCTGTATTACATATATTTCTTTTAACCGTATTAAGTATAAATATTATTTGCATAATAATACCTGGTGTTTCTTGGATGTGTTTTGAAAATTTCTAAACGCAAAAATAGCTACTTTATCGTATTGCTGGTTGACTGGCTTTTCTGCTTTTCTTATATTAGTTATGGACTGCGGACAGTCCTTTTTACACGGAGAGAAGTGTCACGTAAAGATTCTTTGAGCGATATTCGCCTGCGCTAGCCTTCTGCTGATCATAAGGGCGATATGCCCATGAATGTTATTATCTGATAGACCGTTCCACTTGTTGCCGTTTTATACCGCGGCTTTTCGACTTTTCTGACACAGTTACAGCCGTGCAGTCTAATTTCCTTCAATAACAATCCCTGACTTGCATTCGCGGTATCGTTCGTTGCCGTTTATGCATGTTTTACTAAATACAGCATATTAGGCTATAAAACCGGCCGGTATTCTACCGCCGTGACCTTTCGTTTATTTCGCTCTGCCAATTATTTACGTAACACCACGTTTTGTTTTAGATTCGATAATTTTGTGGACCGACCTGGAATTTCCGTTCCTACGACGGGCAAATTTCTCGGCGACTTAACGGATGAATTGCAACCTGGACAGTTCATCAGCCAGTTCGTCAGTCTTGGCCCGAAGACGTATTCTTACAAGACCAACGACGGAATAAGTGTAGCAAAAGTTAAAGGTTTTACACTGAATGGTCAAACTAGTGAAGTCTTAACTTTTGAAAAGATGGTGGGAATTCTGGAGAAGAAGACCGATTTTCTTGTGGCGGAATATCCAGACAGTATTAAACGCGATAAGAAAACAATGACTTTGAAACAAGTGGATCTTTGTAAACGGTTAAGTTTTACGTACGATAAGCGAAGAATTGTTGATGGTGATTGGAACACTTTGCCTTACGGTTATACGTCGCGATGAAATTCTGAATAAAATATGAAGCGAGTTCATTCAGTTTATTGGTAACATTAACACCAAGTCAATCATCGCCCATGTCAAATCAACCTCAGATTTTTCGCTAAGAAAATTGCAGCGCCCACTTGCGAATAAAATAGCCGTACACTCTGGCAATTTAATACGCAGACCAAGAAATCTATCAGCAAAATACGGAACATTCAATCGCTTACTCACACTGTCAAGGTCAAACTTTTGACCAAAATCATGCGTGCCCACAATATTGACCACCGTATAGTCAGTAACAGAACAATCATAACCGACTTTACGCAGTAATCGTACGAAATACTTCAACAGAAAACGCGATTCGTCCAAATTCTTGCCACCATTCACGGTCACTTTACCGTTGACATACAGCTGACAGTGTGCTTTGGGTGGGGCAATGCGACGAAGAAGGAGTCCGGAAAATGAACGGGGAGTATACTGAGCCAATGGCAAGCGTTTCTCAATCTCGGTCAGATTCAGGTGGCAGTTTAGCTTCGCTGTGGCAACAACATTGGTGATCCGTACCATTCCTGTGTAACCACAGTCCGAAGATGATTGCCTTCCGCTGGGTGGTTTGGCTTGCAGATGTCAATCGCCGGAACGTTGGGCAGTGATAGTCCTCCAGATTGATTCATGCGCTTATGAGCCTTGATTATGAGTGGCAAAGGGGACCTGGACAAGATTTCCCAGTGCAGCAGCGGGACTGACGGTAAGCTGACACCACTGTACGCCCTGGAGAATGGATTGTACTTTGGATGGGGACGCTACAATCGTGTCAACACGGCCACCGTGCGTCGTTACACTCTTGGCAACAACGGCGACCTGATTCCTACCAAAGCTGGTGTGACGTTCGGATTGAAAACCTACGACGGACTGAAGGAGCTGGTTGTGGACATGACCCTGCTGAAAGAGATCATCACTGTGGATGAAGCCAACCATGTGCCTAAGACTTTGAAGTCTGCCCTGGCTTACGACAAGCTGAAAGAAGTAAGCGGTTCTGTTTCAAGTTTTATTTGCACGTTTCCATGTGCATGATTTATTCCAGGAAGTGGCCGAAGAGTTTACGGAGCTGATCCACCAGATGCGTGGACGTAACGGCAAGATGGTGTGCGGGAGCGCCAGCGATGACGAATGGGCAGCGGCTGAGAAAGCTATTCTGGAGTCGCGCTACGTGGAGGCTGTGCTGTTGGAAGCTGACCAAGTGGATGTTGGGCAAGTCATTGGGTTGGACGTTAAAGGGTATCTTGAACTTAATGCTTTGGAGTTTCGTGCCATGTTTGCTAAGCTCATCTGAGCGATGTCAGTGATTACTACTTGTTGTCCTAGCATTTCACATGGCTCTTTAGTTATTATTTTCCTAATTGCAAGGACCGCGGTTCTTTTCTTTTGTCATTTTATTTCCGCTATACGTTTACATATTTGTCGGATAAACGCATTGTCAACGACTTGAGTGTTGATGTCAAAATAAGAATTAACGTACTGACAGACCATTTTGTCGTTGCTCGCTCGATTATCGGTAAACAAATGCACAATATTAGTGTAAGATTCACCACAAACACGTCGAAGAATGAAAAATAAACAATATTGCCCACACACGGTAGAATATTCAGACTGAAATTGTTCGGATTGCTCTATAATCCGATTCTCTGACATTAAACTTGCAAAATTCTTTGTATACGAATCCAGTTTCCTCCCAAATGAATCAAACACTTCCAAAACTCCATCTTGTTCCTGGTAGAGAGCCACCTAGTGTGATCCGTCTTGGTCCACTGGATCTGTGTTGACCACCGCCGCACCAGGGTAGGCGACAGTGTACTTGGCACTTTGTCGCTAGCATACACTCCACGCAACACTGTTTTCGTCGATGAGTTCGAATGTAGGGCACTAAAAATCTGGTCCGTGTTCATGTTGAAAAGTCCGCAATCAGTTGGCGATGCTGGTTAATTTCGATAATGCTGTCGTACACCAACATGGCGACCATCATGACTGTTTTATCCAGAGGTTTTTCAAAGTTGACCGACACGCTTAAATTGCCTTGTTTCACTAAAGTCAGCGGTCCTCTTCCAGTATGTCCCGGCGTTAAGTCAAAGCCGAATAACGTGTAACCACCATTATAAGCGGTCCGACTGAAGTGCACCCTGTTTTGTGGATGTGTTCGATATCCCAAAGCGTCCAACAAACCGTCGTAGCACTCTAACGACTGTGACCGTCCAAAATCGGCAGTGTAGGGTTTTGTGGGGTAGCTCTGTCCATCTACTTCCACACTGATCTGGGTGATGTTAAAGTGTTGAATGTTGAAGGGGTTCGTTTTGATGTTGCCGTGAAAATCGTCGCTTTCCAGGAAACCGATAATCATAGCCTTGGGAATCTGTCCAATCTGGAGGTTGCTCACCACGGTGCTCTGCGTCTTTTGTGGAATATCCGATACACGCATCACCACGCGCTCAATGTGATACTTGACGGTTTTTTTCAGCATTTCCGAGGCCACGGCCGTCATAAAATCGGGTGCCGGGATATACCGGCGGACCGATAAGCGCGCATTGCGAATGAACGGTTTGAATTGTTTGGTGGCATCAGTATCCCATACACGCAAACAGAATTCCGGCCGGCTCATTACCAACCGGATATTGATGGGAACACCAGTGCACAATGGCTTACTTTGGTCGAATAAGTCCGCAAATATTTTACCCGACAACTGCACGTAGTTACCGCCAGCAAATAGGGCTTTGCGGCTTACTTCTCCTTTGTTGTCTTTTTCGTCGCTCATCTTGTGTGCAGTGTCTGTGTAAAACGCAGCCGATGACAATTGGGACCTTTTGGCATCCACCGAATAGGACAGGAGAGAGTCCAAATAAGCCCGGTATGGATAAAATGTCGCGGCATCGGAGATTAGTCGATTTGCCACGGTTACGTGGCAGGAAGAAAACAGCGAATGCAGAAAGTTGTTGACGGGTGCCACATTGTCAGCGTTCGTTACGAGCGTCCAGTCAGCAGCTCCTTTCTTTACTTTAATGCCGACCTCCAATTCTAAGATCATGTCTGCCAGGCTAAGCAGTCCAGCAGTACTGGGAGGAATATAAAAATTAATATCGCCAGCCGAGCCGCTATCCGTCAGAATCGTAGTAGGGTTCCACTTCTCGTGTTCGGTGCGCCATCGATCAGTCAGCGTAGCCGGTAAGGCAAACAGTTGGTTCACTAGCTGCATTGCCGGTTCCGAATTTTCCATCATCAGTAAAGCCATGGTTAAAAGTAGTCGGGAATATTGGTTGGAGGAATGCGTTTAATACGCTGTCGGTTACGTACAATCCGGCGTTTCTTCCGAATACCACTTCCTTCTTGCGGTGCTAAACGTTTGCTTATGGTCTCTCTGGCTTTATCAGCAACCTCTTTAATAGCCCCGGTAGCAGGTTCTTGCAAGTGAGGCGTGGCGGCATCCAACGCTGCCTTGGCATGCGGGGCGGCCCGGCGTATTATGGGTTTGGCGAACGCCGATATTTTGGCAAATAAGCTCTTCAGGATTTGAGGAAGGCCAGAGCCGTTTTGTAGTGTTCCACGGTAGCGAATGAGGGCGCTGGAACATAATGGAATGGAACATAATGAACTGGAACATAATGGGAAATGTCGAAGAACTGGAACATAATGGGGAATGTCGAAGCGTGCTTCCACGGTTTGGTTCACTTCGCCTCTAATAGGTACGGCGCGCAGAAACTGCGCCGCGGTGTCTCCGATCAGACTGTAGTCGGCCACATCGCTGTATAAGAATAGGCTTTGGTTACCGAGCAGTGTGTTGACAGGACGGTCGGAAATGAATGTAGTGACTTTTGGTGTCGGAGCTTTGTCCCAGAATGCCAAGTATTTCGCTCTTGCTTGACCTTGGGCAGTGTCAATGGTTTCAGCAGCAAGATTGGGTTCGAATAGGCTTTGATCGAAACCCAGAATCTTTTGAAGGGTTAAGGATTCAGGTGGAAAGTATATGGATACTCGGTCATTTCCGATGCTCAGCTTGACCTTGTGATTAGTTGGCGTAAAAAACTGCACTTCGAACATTTTGTTGTTGGGCAGTGCACTCTTGTCCTCTGTCACTCTTCCATCCAGCAAATAAGATTTAACGACAGGAGCCAAAGAATTGATGGTTTGCAGAAGCAACTCCGCGTTCTTGTAATTACCTGGTGGGACCACAATGCTTTTCTGGACACTGACATATCTGGGAGTGGCAATAAACTCTCCATCTTTTTTCAAGTAAAATTCGCGAACAACATCTAGTTCAATTTTTTGTTCAACAGGCAACGTATAAAAAGAATTTAGATACTGCAGCTCGACCAGTGCCATTTCCCATTTTCCTTTCAAGGTGATTGGATGCTTTAGTTTGGTAGTCCAATTTGATGGGGTGTTGGCAGGATCCGTAGCCACATCATTGGGCAGCGTCAGGTAGAATGGCGCACCTTCATACATTTTTCATCAATCCACTGATCGTGTTCCGGTCCGTAACCTAACCAACGCACTAGGACCTTCTTTCCACGGCGCTTTACAATAAAGTCCACAGTATGCTCTTTGTCAGGAACGTTGCGGACGAGAGATAACTCGGGTTCGTAGAATTTTCCGTCAATGGTGTTCTCTTGATAATCTTTCAAAACGTAAACCGGTACCGGATGAGGAATAACTTGCTTGATGAAAAATATTTCTTCCTTAAATCGGTAAGTGTATCCCTTTTCCACTTTTCCTTTAGGGATGGAAATACGCACGGCATCACCAACTTTCTAGCGCGGTTTTGTTGCCTTAGGCTCAGGGTACAGCTTGTTGTACACACGCAACGATTTTTCTTGCTTGACATCAACTGGTCGCATCCCGTGGGCGCTGTGCATGGAGTGATTGTACGAGTACACAATGTCCTTCAGTTTGTCAATGTAGCGGGTGCAGACGCGGTAACGGAATAGTCGGAAAATGCGGGATTTGATTGTACGAATGACACGCTCAGCCATGGCGCATTTTATATCTTCGTTCTGGGACGTAAAGAATTGTACGGTCTGGTTTTTCAAAAAAGCACGAACGGTTGCGTTAAGCATTTCCGTTCCTTTATCATATTGTAACTTTTCCGGAGTACCGAGTTCTTTGAAAGATTTCTGGAGGGCATCGCGGGTTTCCTTTCCGGTCTTGGTTTTTAAAGCTTGGATACTCAACATTTTGGAGAAGCAGTCAATCACAAACAGCAAATACTTGAATCCGTCATTTTCCTTGGAGTATTTGGACAAATCAGCCAAATCAGCTTGGTACTGCTGCTGCAGATTGGTAACTATCACTGGATTGCGTGGAAACCGTTTCCGGCTTTCTTTGGTGACAGTGTACGCATCGATCTCTTGTAGGATCTCCTCCGCTTTCCGTTTGTTGGCTCTGGTTTTTAGTGTTCTTCGAAATCGCTCGACCCCGCCAAAACTTCCGGGATGACGAGGATCGAGGTACCTCTTCGTTAGACGATCCATCGTTACAGCAGTTCGACACGCAGTAAATTTTGAAAAATCGGCACAAACGGATTACAGATGGCAGAAACCCATACATTACGGCAGTGTGATCTAATTAATTTTTCGCTGCATGCCGTGTCCCGTTTGGTGTTTATGTGATCGTAAGCGGGGCACAGGGACGGGTACTTCATCAGCTTTCTCTTTGGGGCGACTAGGGCGGGGCTTTTTGGTTGTAGGGGGAATAGGAGGCACGTATTGGGGAGGTTCCACAGGATTTTCATCGGGCATTGCTTTTTGCTTCAGAGCCAGAAAACGTTCTAAGATACTGGAAAGTTGACTGGCTTTTTCATATTCGCTTATATCTTTCCGCTGCAAGGTTTCGGCCACTAAGTTGTCCAACGAAACAACGGCCTTGGCTTCCGGTGGCTTTCGATTGACTTGAATCTTTTCATGTAGTCGCTCCTCCATGACACGGCGAGGAACAATAAAATATTCATCCATTGCAATCAATGATGTGAGTACGCCAGCAATAACAGGCAAAATTGCACCCAGAAATCCACCTTGCTGCAAATCCGTTTCTTGGCTTTCATGGGATACCGCCGCAGTGCTAACAGCTTTAATGCTTTGCGATGACGTTTGCACTTGTTCAATTCGGTTGGTGACAAGCTGACGGTGTTTTTGATGATGTTAACCGCAATTTCTTCTATGGCCTTCAGCTGGGGTTTGTTGGCGAATCCCATCAAGATGCGGCGCTGTTTCGGCTTGAGACCGGCTGTTCCGACATGGTTTTGGTATATCATTAGAATTGGCTTTCACAAAAATTCGCATCGACTGCTTGGGAAGGGTGTGCGATCTCACCCTTAAATAGTCCGGGCACGTCGATCGCATATCAATTATTAATGGTTCGTACGGTTCCGCGGTAACTTTGCGGTAGGCGTCGATCAGCTGATTCAGCCCGGTTTGACGAGCCAGCAGCCTAATTTGATTGATATCGCGCACGTTCTTAAATAATACAGGATATTGCGAGTTCAGAGTAATGTCTCGCATGGACTTTCCTTGCTTATAAAGGTTTTGTAAAAGCAAAACCACCGAAACGTTTTTATGACGGATACCGCGCGTAAACAAATTTGAGCAGTGCACGTCTTTGCAAATATCACTAGCGAGATCATCGATGATTAACAGAGTATGCTGACTTAGGTCAAAGAAACCCTCTGTTTCAAAAACCGCATCGATGCCTTTAATAAATTCAACAGAATCTTGGAACTCATCGAATGCTTTCTGCCATTCCCCATAACAGTAAACAACTCGGTCAGGCGACGACCAGATCATTTGCGCGCGGTTTTTAATTAAAGATAATACAAACTGTGTTTTACCCGACATTGTCGGCCCACAAACACACATACCAAAAGGCGCTTGAAAGCGCGGATATTCTTTTAAAAGGCTACACATGGTGACAAAAATGAGTTCAAAAATAAAGATGCCGCTTTAATACATACAGCACAGACTTTTACACTCAGGCCTTAGAGAACGGTGTACTTCCTCGGGATCGTCGCCTTGCTTCCACTTGTCCACCTCCAGGCCGCAATACACGCATTCAGCAGTATTCCCTCCATTCCATTGAAACCCAGCGGCAGTTAGACGTACTGGATGGACGACCCGGGATTTCCAGCTGGCAGGGTAGGACGCCAAGCGGTTCTCGGTGGTTTTCATATCCCTGGGAGGTCCCAGTTCGTCTTCCTCGCAGCAGTAGCATATATTACCATTGCTTGGTCCTCGGCGATCCCATAACTCTTCAACGCGGCAATGGGCTTCATTGGCATTCTCCTGGAGGCGCTGAATCTCGGCGATGGCTTCTAATCCCAGTCGGCTGACAATCACGGGACATTGGGGTCGGTAGCGGGCGTGATGAATGTCCACTTGTTCATAGGGCAGCAAGTTCCACAGCCCCAAACCGCAGCAGTAGCAGTGGATGAGGTTGGACCAAGTATGGGAAAATCCGGCCGCGGCCATGTCCTCTTTCGTCTGCGTAGTGAACTGCCATCGCTTCACGCGGTTGAAACTGTTCAGGCGGGCGAGATAATGCACCATACGGGGGTTGTAGGGAGCCATGCTGCAAATTAAAACAGATTAATGAAATGCTGCAACAAGGTCACGAAGAAAATAACGCACATTGGTCAATACTCTTGCCAGTACTGGTTCAGTTCGCGATGGACATTTGCATACGCTGGGCGCAGGGCCTGCAGGTAACGACAGTCTGGATTGCCTGTGGCGTGTTTCTTCCAAAAATCGTCGCCCTACTCGGCAAATGTCA